GGCTAATTATAAATTAGTAGAGGTAAAATAAATCTGTATCTTTAACCAAATCTCAAACCAGACCTGAGTAATATGAAGGTTATAAATAACGAACGTTGATTTTTTTTTTAATTTTTTTTTTTTTTTTGGCTTAAAAGGAATAACACAGATGATCTTCTAAGTCCTGCTTTGGCTAGGACTGAATGTGTAAGTTCAAATATCACAAAAAGACTGCAACAGCAGAATTCTACTTATCCAAACCCAAGAATTTCTTGAAGAAACCGTCTAAGATTTAAAGCATTAACTTTATTGTTAGGAGGTTAGTGGGAACACTTCATAAAATCATCCAAAGCTAATTTGGTCACTGAGTCTTCAAACCTTCCAGAGTTATGGATGCATGAACTAACCTGTAGACTAACTATTACATTCTAAAAATTATAGTCTATCAGATATGGTGATACAGTGGCAGTTACTTTAAAAATATCACTCTAAAAAGACCCCTAGAATACAAACTCATAGGTTCTACAGATAAGTCACAGAAAGAGCCTAATCAGATTAAGTTAAATTGAAAGCTTTAGAAGAAAAGAGTTAAATAGGGTGTACAAAACCAGCTGCTTGTCTCAAAGTTATTAAGAAAAATTAGAATGGATAAGAGGAAATAACTATATAACAGTCAGCTATATACCATTTCATTTTGTAACTGATGAAAAAATGTCAAGCAAAAAAGCATAGCACTTTTCCTGCCTTATATATATAAAATTGTACATTATTTTCTAAAGACTATAGACTTTTTATAATAATGTAATAAAAAGTCAGATTTTCCCTTCACCTAACTATGCTGCATCTAGCTTTTATCTCCAGTATTTGTATCCAGTATTTATCTGTTCATAATGCTACTTGTTTGTCATTACTTTATGAAATTACCTGAATATAACTTATTAAGGTATGTAAGATATCTTACTAAAGATATAATACTGCAGATGCTTTTCAGTGTGATGACATAGTACTTGGTGATGAAACAGCTAATAAGAGTTAACCTTCATTATAAATTTGTCTACTTTGCATTTTATAAACATTTCTCACCTTTAGAAAGCATAAGCTTGACTTCATTAAATCTCACAAAAACTCTGTAAGGTAGTTACTAGTCTATTAGTAATGAGAATATGCCAAATATTCTACAGAAAAAGTAAGTTACATTGTTACTTAATTGTACAGAAATCAGCAGAACATTGACAAACAGTAGTGACTAAATTGCTCATGTGAAAGAACAGAAAAACCACATAGGACTCAAGGTGAAAAATACTGGAAGCCACATCACTGTCAAGAGACCTCTCAGCAGTATTAGAAAAAGAATACTTTTTACAGTTCTAGTTGCTTCTCACGCATGAATTTTATTTCACTGTTACAACACAGTTATATATTTACTATAAACTCATTCCTGTCTGTAACTCATCTGGTTTTCTATGTATCATTTGTATTTAGTGATGACTATAGGAAAAACCAATTGTTTCTTTGTTCTGAGAAAAACTAAATTAAGGCAGCCAAGGTTTTTCTTTGTCTACTGACCACCTGATTCTGGTCTGTCAGGACACATAGCAAAAACATTAGAGTCTTCTGATGAGCTGATCTGTAAACAGCAGCAAAACAGCCGTTTAGCAGTAATCTACCTATAGAGATCTTATTGTTTACGAATCTGAAATTCAAGGCAAGGATTGTTTTTAGTAACATCTTGAATTTTTTTTTGCACTAGGTTGTAATTGTGCCGTACTCATTAACCTAGTTGTCATTAAATGTGCAAATTTGGACTAGGTCACATATTTTATAGATATATTCATATGCATTTTGGTATGTAAGCAACAGTAAGTACTGTTGTTTATTTAACAGATGAAACTTCAATCACAGACTGTAAGAAAATTCCTGCTTTGTGTTCTATGAGACTTTAGAAGTCTCATTTCAGAAATATATTACCAAGGGGAGATTATAAATTAAATTTAAATTTTCCCCTGGACTTTTGTAAGTAGCCAGTATATAGTAAAGGTAATTAGAGATAATTGCACGCTGCCTACAAACTACTTCACTTCCAAACTCTTGTGTATGTGATTCTTACATAGCCTGTGTCCTTTGAGGATTGTCTGAAAATCAAAATAAAATGTGAGCTCAAACTTGCTGGCATGTTGGTTGTTTCTCTTCTTTAGTAAGTGGAATTAGTAGAAATAATTTTTATGCATACATTCTAGCTGCTTTGACAGTTACAGTTCCATAGCAAGGCTCTCTTTATTACTAAAGCAATGCAGCGCAATCTTTAAAACATACATAATCATATATTAATTTTAACTTCCCACCTAAATGTTTAATAATCATATAGAAGCATGCTATTCCACATGGTTCATGGGGCAACATGTATAAATATATATATAAATGCTACAAAGCATATATTTATCTATTTTGGAGAAAGTTAAAAAGTATACACATTTGCTATTTTGAGAACTGAAACTACATCTTAAAAAATAGAAAATAAAAAAACCCCAACACAAAAACATTAGCTGCTTTATTTTGTACATGTATTTAATTTTATCTGGAAACTTTCTGATGTTAGGAATAGAACAACTGTAGTTTCTCATTATGTTTGCTGCCAGAATCTATGCTTGGTTGCTTAACTAAAGACCTTATATTGCTAATTACTACCACATGCCCATATCCCAAGCAAAGGAAAACTTATTGGTTCTGACAATCCATTCTCTCAACACTGAATTCCAAATGAAAACTTAAATATTGGCCAAACATAACATTTCATCAATCTTGTTCTACTGACTTCAACAGCAACATCAAACAAGGGGTGATAATGGCTTTTTTCTGTGCAGTTCCCAAGCTTAGATTCTCTGATGAAAGACCCATGTGAGCAAAGGACATCTTTAAACTACTTCATAATTAATAGTTGAACCAGAAAACAATGCATAAAGTAAATTGAACAGTTTGTATTCTGATGACAGAGCTGAGTTTCAAAGAAGTTAATGGGCAGTAAAGATCAGCAGAGAAAGCACTGACAACAGATTGAGCTAAAACCAGATAGCGCATATAAATAAAGACAAAAAGAAAGGGTGAAAATATAACATCAAGCACGCCCCAAAGCTAGCAGAAGCCTGTAATCTGGAGTTGAGCTTTTCAGGATGTGGGGTTCTGACTGAAGATCACGTCCAAATTTTGAGACATCTGAGCAGTGCTAGGTACTAGTGACAATGTAGAAGGGGAGAGACTAAAACTCTGTGCAAAGTAGTTTTTAAGCACATTCTTCTCTTCTATAACTCCTCTGAAGCCTCAGAAACAGAAGTTTAAAGTTGTCAGACACAGGAAGTTCTGTGTTTGAAAAACTTCACTCTTCAAGAAACCAAGTATGAATACAAATATGAAACTGAGTAGGCCTCTGTCACAAACAAACATTTTTGGAAATTAAAGATACTACCCTATCTCAGAAATAAATTATGACATTTTGTTAATTTGCATAAGTCAATTATGATAAAAGTTTCCGACATCAGTGTTTACACTAAAAAAGCTTTAGACATCTGAGGATATCTCAAAAAAAAAAAAAAAGTACTGAAGTATTTGCAATCGTATCATCTAATTGCTTGAGTATTATTGGACACACAATAGTATAACTAATGAAAAAAACTTTGATGTATCTAGCCAGTGACATAAAGTAGTACCCTAGAATTAGTTCCATGGGACATTTATACTCTTTGTGCTCCACAGAGAGGAGAAACAACTTGATAAAAACTTAATCCACATTCATAAAATTATGCATGGGTAATTTGAAAAGAATAAAGTGAAAAACATATCTTTAAGTAAGGAGAAGAACAATCAACTAGATGTGCTCCTTGTAGTCCCCTCTTTAAGTTATTTTGAAAGGATTGTATACAACTAGTCTTTTAGGGCGAATATATCTTTACCAGTGAAAGTCACAAGAATACATAATTAAACAAAACATGGCAACAGTAAAGGTGACATAGAAGAGAAACTACTACATTGCCAAGCACATCAAGTCCTTTAACAGCTTTATCCTGGCATGTCTAGATGCTGGAAATGCCAGAAAGAGCTGGTTTTAACTTGGTCAAGGAAACAAGGAGGCTTTCAATAAAAATGTAATGAGCTAATGTGGTCCAATAAAATTTAACTTTTGCTACCAGGTTAAAATAGTATTTTTTATGGGTTTGGTTTCTTTTCCAAACTATATTGATACTAAGCTATTACTTGTTCTTCGTAGGATAGGTTTATATGAAGTGTGGAAGAGAATCACAGTAAAAATCCTGGTCATAGATACTAAAATCACAATTGTTTGCAATATTAAAAGTCAAAAAGAGCTGCATGAGAACTAATCTGCTGTTTGAACAAGAAACAGCACTATCAGTTTTCTGACAGTCTAATGGAATAACTTGATCAACATAAATCTCAGATTTTGCACCCCAGTAAACCCAAGTTTTCTAGAGAACTATGCTGTTTGAAAATCATGTGAATTATCATTGTCACTTAGTTAAGAGATTAAAATTGATGACATATGATAATCTGATCCCCAAAGTGTGAAGTGACAAGTCAACCTTTTTCCAGACGCTACGTGCATATTCAATAGCAGCATTTTTTCACAAGACACGTCAGCGTAGTCTTAGTGGTGTCCAGATTCTCTTGAAGTAGGGACAAAAACTTGTGACTTGCACCATAGCATAGCCCAGGTCTCTAATTACAGTGTGACAACACTCCAGTGGTAACATCTGAAGTCAAGGAGTACCACCTTCAGGGGCTCTAAAGTCACACAACCACACCTGGTCTTTTTTGACTTACTTTCTGCCTCGGGTTGAGTTAAAAGTCCCGCCGTATTTCTTCCGATTAAGGATGAGAGCAGCAATTTCTGGCACGTAGCGAGCAAACATTGCCTACATGCATGAAACAAAAAAAAAAAAAAAAAAAAAGAAAATGGCATGCAGAGAGTGTTCTACTGCAGCAGAGGCAGCAGAGCCTCTTGGGATACTTACTTTCTTCCACTAACCGCACTATAGGAACCACCATATTTCTTGCGGTTTCCTATTAATTCTATGATTTCAGGGACGTAGCTGGCAAACATGGCCTAAGAAGAAGATAGGAGACAGAAGAAAAGACTAAAAAGAGAGGCCAAAGAAAGGGGGATGATGAGTATTTTCAGAAGATATATATCGTTAAGATCTGAAAATGCAAAAGAATTAGATCTGTGCAGTTGTTTAAAAAGAAAATTAAAAAAAAATGTGAAAGTTCTTATCAAGCAAAACAAGAGGACTCAATGTAAAAGTTTGTCTTGGAGAAGGTGCATACCTTATAAATTAAGAAAATGGTCAAAAGACAAAAATAAGTACACAAAACAAAACAAGAACAAAAATAATCCAAACTGGTATCTAATAATAAAATCCAGTTATATCAAAGTCTTCCTGAAGGAGGGGAGGGGAAAAAACTATGCAAGCTCTACTGCAGAAAAACAAAACCAGATATTATCATTACCATTACATTTCTATTTTAAAGACAGGCTTATTTCTCCCATTCTTAGAATTCAAGAGAAGAAAAAAAAATGAAATCAGGGGTTATTCCCCTTGTTAAGAAAAAAAAAGGTCAACCCCCACCTGAAAAAAAAAACACCAAACAACTTTTACAAAAGTTTATGTTTTTAAAAGGTTTGGAATAACATGTGAGAGAAAAAAAGGTTTTGAGGAGAAAATAAAAATTATTCTGCCATGTTTAGTCCAACAAACATCTTCCTTGTGGCTGGATACTTCGAAGAGCTACTGCCAGTTGACATGGTCTTTGTCTTCATATGGCAATAAACATAGATGGGAATGCATATATTTATGCCCATATATATGTATCTTTGTGTCTCTCATATATGTCATTCATAACATTAGATATATACATATCACCTCTAAGATGTATGTATATGTGAAATCAATATATGAGAGTAAGGTAACAATATACATATGCATGTATGTGCACAATATATATTTTAAAATATCCATAATGCACTTACCTTGCACAGTGCAAATATGAAAATAAACTTTGCTGGTTTAGAAAATAACATTGCAATAGTCCTATATTACTAAGACTGTTAGATAGAAAAGTTGACACCAGACAATTAGTAAATTTGGTGCTATGTACATGCAGGACAAAGAACACGAGAACTTGCTGAAAATATACTATTTATGGCCATGTGATAAATTGTGAGTTAAAATTGTGCTACATGACATGAAAGGATGTTTGGAATTAAAGAAAATGTGGTTTGCCATCATCTGGATCAGGCAAGCTGCTCTCTAAGGCAGTCCAAAGCCACAGTGTTTGTTGGAATTCTGGGAAGGAACACAGAAGGGTGGGTGGGTAGGACTTCTGAAACCGCAAAATGCCTTTAACTATTATTAATAGCAGCCTCAAAAAAATTCACTGGTCAATCACTAAAAAGTAAAGGACTACAAATAACATTATAAGTTTAAATATTAAGGCACTTCATGTATTCTCATTTATTACTCATTCAGATAGATTAGAGAAATTCTGACTCTACTAAACTGGACTAATCTGACAAACTTTTCCAAAATATTTATCTATAGAAAAAAAAAAGGCAGGGAGGGGTATTTTAAACATATTTAAATGTTTTCTAATTAATTTTAATTCACTAATTCAGATATTATTTCATTAATTACAACATTGAGATACACAGGATTGACTATTAAGGTAACTGGAATAAAAATAATTATAAAAAAGAGTTTTTACCAATCCCCCAAGGATGAAGAAGACCATGAAAAGGCGACCAAGAGTTGTTTTTGCATAAACATCTCCATAGCCAACAGTGGACATTGTAACCATCAGTAAGTAAACACATTCCCAATATGTTAGCGGTTGATTATTTTGGAAATTTTCCCATGGATCCCCTGAGTTCTCCACCTAAAATGTACAAGAAAACATACAATGAATTAATAGAGTCATACCACAAATTACTGATATATGTGTGTGCATATGCTTACATATATAATGTAATTTGGCATACAGTATAAATTCTGAATCCATTCCTGTAATTTATTTTGAACAAATATAAAACCTAACTTGTCCCAGTTATAGCATTACAGTTCTTTTGCCAATACGCATAGCCTTGCCACTCATACTATTTATGGAAAGCATTTTTTCATTCAGCACTAAATAATATTAATGCAGTTAGGTAAGTTCATTTTATAGCAATTTGTTAGAACATTTTCAGAGCAAATCTTACATGTAATGCAATTATACTTCTGAATGTTTTTTGTTTTAAAGCATTATCATAGAATTACAGAATGGTTAGGGTTGAAAAGGACCTTGAGATCTAGTACTAACCCCTATTAAAGGCATTAGTGACATGTTTAGTGATACACTATTGCTATTCTAAGAAGCCAGCTCCTGTATCTCACAAAGTTATAAATTTATCATCTGAAAAGCAGTGTGCCCTCTAAAGTTCATTCCACAGTAGAGTTTGACCACTGAGAATTCCTACAATAGTGGAACTTAAACTGAACAGCAAAATAAATCCCAAAACAAAATCCAGGTCCTAGAAAATAGCATCCTTTTCCATCACTGTAATTTTAAAATGTCTTTTTCTTTTTTTCTTCAGAAATATAAAAAAACTAATGTCTCTAAAAAAATGCTATGTTTGCTAAGAGGAGTGTAAAAATATGGTCATAAGTGATTAAGAAGTATATCATAAAACATGAAAAATTTTGGTGCATCTTCATAAGAGTGAAAATTAAATTAGTATTTGGTAAAAGAAGAAGCTGAACATTCTGAATTGAATCTTATATAGTTGGATGCAGCTCAAGGTAGTTCAAGAGAAGTCAAATTGCTCTGTTCTAACACTGATATTATGAAATTTTAGTATTAGTCCAAAACAATTCCTGACTAACTTATTATTTCTAGCACCTTGAAATATTCATGGTTCTAAATAAAATCATAAAAAATACTTAAAGAACACTCGACCATATCTAATTATGCTTACTAAACAAAAAATCAGTAAAAGCTATTACTTTAAAATGTTTAAGACACAATTGACATATACCTATCCTATATATGCATATTAACATTTATGAACTCATATGTACCTCTGTACTAGCTATCTTCAATTTTTCAGGTATCATTTAATGCAGAATTAAAATAAATAAATAAATCTACTATAAAACTCTGTATTATCAGTGACTGAAATTTACACCAAAAAAAAAATAAAAAGCCATTTGGAATGTTATCAATCCCACTACTTCCCGTGGAAATACAGAACTGTTTTCTCCTGGCACAACCATTGATTTCCCAGGACCTCAGTATCGCTTAATAAAGCCAATCCCTTCCAGGAAGCACTCTGGGTAGTTATTTAGGAAACGCTGCCACCTACTGGTAAATTGTAATCATTCAAGAAGTTGCAGCAGTTCAAGTCTCGTATTTTATTTCTGAGGCTAATGATGTATTACTTACTGTTCAGAACTAGTTTTGAGTAGAAGCCTAAAACTGTGAAGCTGTGATGTCTCTGTTTATCTTATACTATAAGATGCATTAAGGGATCAGTCAGAGCAAGGCAATTTCAGGTAATAAGGTAGCTCAGAGAGCAGAATATCCATGAGAAAAAGTCAAACAAGTATTTTCAAATATACTTACCAAATGTATGAACCCAGCTGCTGTCAGCCACGTGCTGATAAATATAGAGCACAGATTCACTAGCTTGATGGAATTACTGAAAATAAACAAAACCCAACAACAAATGGGAACTTAGACTGGAATTTCTCACACATTTTCAATATGTACTTATAAACAACTGCATACTTTAGAATGAAAGTGTCTGGTGATGATTTCTGAAGAGAAGCAGACCCCTAAAAAACTTAATCAAAAGCCTATGCAAAATAGCTTTTTTTTTTTTTTTGTCTTTGCAAAGTCACGTTTGCATAATTTGGATAGCTTGAAAGAAAAATTCCCATGCATTTGAGAAACGTTAGCTACAGCTGTACTCATAACCAAATAAATAGAAATAAACAACTGTTTTTCACAAAAGAAAATTGGTTGCCTTTCAAAACACTCACCTTGTCATTTTTCATTGCTACACACCCCAGATTTATTTGCATGTGAATATTCTGGTACCCTGGAATACATCTACACAAGGCCAATAAATTAATCTGAGCAATGCCAATTAGCATTAGCTGCTGAACACTGCATTTATACAAACAGTTGACTGATTTAAAAAAATATATATTTAATTTTTCATATTGTTCTTATATATTTATTATGCTTTGTACCCCAGGCCAGTGAAGGCTCTAAAAATTAACACAAGAATGTTTTTTGTTGCATACTCGCCACATGTTAACACTTATATACATGACCACAGAGAAAGACTATTTTCCTACAGTTACAGTAAACAAATCATGAACTATTGCTGCCAATCTGTAAATGTCATGATGCTGTAATTGTCATCATGGATTCACAAATTAAAGAACTTAGGTATTTTACAGTCCCTGTGCAAACTCCCAAGTAATTTTCATATTATTCTGCTTGCATAACTCCAATTGATCACTTTGTGGCAAAAAAAAACCCCAAACCAAATCAAACCAAAACAAACAAACCCACCAAAATAAACAAACAGAAAACCCCACCAAACCACAACCAAACAAAAAAAAAAATAAACAACCAAAGGATTGAAACTTAACAGTCAAACACAGCAAACTCTTTTCAGCCCCATTGAGTAGTATGTTCCCTACTGCAGCCAGAAGTGATTTTGAAGCAAGGATCTCACTCAGTTCAGCAGGAAAATGCCACTCTTAAAAACCTGTGTAAGAAATATAAGTAAAGCCTGCTCCCTTTTTTCGTACAAAATTCACTATGATTCAAAAACCTAAGAAGGATATTCAGTATCTATACAAGGAACTCAAGTCCATGTATTCCTATCTCCAAATAATCTTATCCATTCATGGAACTGTACTGGAAATAGCTCTCTTATGTTTTTGAAAACATTTCTGAGAATGAATAATGGCTCAGAAAAATCAGTATTATTCCTAAAGCAATACATCCCGAAAGCATAAAAATCAGGAAAAATTCACTATCAGTCTTAGCAGTAGTAGTTTTGAGCAGAATTAATTAATATTTCTAACTAATACAAGGACAGTAAAAATACATTATTTTTTAAACAAAATTGAGGCATGAACCAGCTCCATTGAAATATTTTTAAGAGTTACAGTTAGAGAGGGCATCTGTGGGTACAAGGGAAGAAATACAATTGGTAATATGGATACTGTATTTAAAGCTGTACTCAAAAACAAGATAACGTACCAGCATTCTGCAATTACTTAGTGCTCATCTGCATTAACACATATTCCCCATTCCTGTCTTTCGTTATGTATGGTTGATTTAAGGTTCATATTCTGTTGATGATAACATTCAATCATAGCATGGGACCATAACCAATTGGTTTCTAGGTTAAAAAAAAATCATAGAAATCATGCTGATGCAAAACTCTGTTATGAAAAGCTAAATATGAGCTTTTCACCTGAACTTAGAATAGGCTCCTGATAAAAAAATGGGGCAGTTGATGTCTCCACATATTGCTCTATACAAGTAAATGACAGCACTTAAGAATAACTCTTACATGACTTGTTTGGTATGTTTTATTTTTGCGGACTTATTAAACATTTTACCTTAGCTCTCCTCTATGAAATATCCTCTATGAAATACTCCCTGGGTTTCTGCCAGAATCTAAATATAGATGAAGGATTAGTCACAAACATTTTCCTCCTCTTTAAGCTCTTTCCAACATCTGTGCAAAATCCCTTACTGTGAGCTCTGCCCAAGCCTCTGCAGTTTTGTTGAAAAATATTAGAAAACAGTGAAGGAGAGAGATTTTCAACTGAACGCCACACAATTCATTCTATTTCATAAAACACAGGAACAAAAAACACCGAATAAAATTAATTTAATTGCAAATTAGAAAACAAAGAGGTCCTTGGCAGAGTACGATCTTTTAATATGTAAAAACTTTTCTTTGCCCTGTAGGTTCATTTAAAATATAAATAATAATTAATAATTTTTCATATACTCTAATAACTGTCTAACACACCCACATGACTTTGCAAGTCTTCTCACTGCCTCTGTTTTTGCATTGTTTAGCTTCTTTTTTTTTTTTTTTTTTTTGGTTTTTGTTTGTTTGTTTGCTTTTTGCTTGGGGTTTTGGTTTTTTTTTTTGGCGGGGTGGGCTTTTTGAGGTTGCTTTTTTGGTTGTTTTTTTTTTTTTCTGTTGTTTGTCTGTTTAAGAAAGATTGATGATGCAGAAATAGAAACTCTCAATTAAAAAGTATGCCATTACCGTAACAGAAAAACCATACCAACCACAGGAAGCAGAGTTCTTGTTTGTGAAGGTACTTAAGGATACACAAATATAAAACTTTTTCACTGAAGTTTGAAGCTAAATTCATGCAAGACAATAAATAAAAAATAAAACCCACTCATATGGTCACATTTATGTCAGGTGTAACCAAAACTTTTCTAAAATAAATGGCATTCTGCTAATTTGTTTTAATTTGACTCATCCATTTTACAAAAAGATGTTTTATGAGCAACGACACAAAAGAGAACAGCCATATCTTTCTATTGAAGAATGAGGAACGGGAAAGAAATAAAGAATTGGTTTGAGGCACTGACAGATTTTAAGTGAAATGGTGTTAGTGATGAACTGCTGGGGATTAATCATCTGAGAAAACTGAAACAGTCATATAAGGAAGCTTTGCTTTACAGACTTTCTAATAATCAACATTTTGGATTTACAGATATTTGGACATTCATATAGATAACCACAGAGTTAATGATATCTAATCTAAGAGCAAATTTTACACTAGAGAAACGTTATTTAAATGAACAGGCCAATCTTGAGCAAGCTAACTCTGAATACACTGAATGTGATTTAATGCAGCACTCCTTTATTTATGGATCTGGAAGCTTGCAAATCCACCACTCCTGAAGGGACTTTTAGCCTTTATCCAACATCTTTTGAGTTTATGGGGCTTCTCTATTGACTACCATTTCTTTTGGTGAAGTTCTGTGTTTTCAATGTAAAGCCATTGGGTATCCTGAGCTCCTGCAAAAGTTATTCTCCTTTACCATACTCTCAGCTACTGGGCTACAGCTTTGCTGCACATTCTTTGATTTCTTTATTTGACAGGAACTGGATTCCTTACAGTTACACGGCTTAAGACAATGCGAGAGTTTTACAGCAAAAAAAGAATAGTTTCAAGATTATGGGTTGAAGACATGGCTATGTACAAATTTTAAGGATATATTTCTCAATCACTACTATTAGTAGCAACTAAGTTGAGCCACTTGCATATAAAGCCCTCACACATGCATGACCAACTGGTAGAGAAAGCATAGGATTTTGGAATATGTCATCCAACTGTGATTCATGGGAAAGTTCCTTTAAAGAAATCTTTTGTTCAAAGTTGTGCTGCTTCTGCACAACTTTCATGTACTGATAGCCCAAAAAATTGGTGGAAGCTAGAAAGTTACTTGGAGTATTTTAATTATTCTTTGAAAGAAATGCTAATGCCGATGAACACAACATAAAGATATCTCAGTGTAAAATTCATTTTTAATATGTTTTTGTTGTGAACAAGGATAGTCAGGTTAAAAAAAAATTTGAAAAAGAGCAACGATTATTTCTCAAAATACTTTTAAACTGTATCCTGTTGAATGAATTTTGATTTCTGTTTTTCCAAGGTAGCAGAATATGGACTGATTATGTGGAACGAAGCAACTTTTAATCACTGAAGAGCTCTGTAATTCATTCTGCTTTTCATTTACCAGCACAGTCTTGTTCAGATCTTTCATATATAACAACACACCAAGTAAAATCTACTGATCACATTGCAAAAGATTATGACACTGATAAATCATTCATCAGCAGAAAAAGGTTTAAAGAACAGGTAACATGAGTTTTACTCCAGAAAAGAAAATCATATATTACTAGAACAACAAATCTAAGCCATTTATGTTCTGTCACCAATGCAACTAACTCAATATGTAAGAAAAGGTCTTACCTTGTTTTAAGGATATTCAGAAACTGCAAAATTTCTGAAAACTGTATCAGTCTAAGGGCTCTTAAAAATCTTAAACCTGTAGTAAAGGAAAAAAAAAATGTAGTAAAGAATAATTCAAATTATAGCATTTCATTTACAATGACAGCAATCATTCAAATCAACATAGGTAGCATACAAAATGCCAAATACCTTTGAAATGCTCTTCCATATTTAATGATGCCAAAATCCTTTCCAGGTCTTTTTCAACTTTTTTTAAACTTACTTCCTTAATAGCTGTAGTATCCTACCAGAAAGCCTTAATTTATGTAGGGCGCCATGGTAGAAGATATGTAGACTAAAAGCTAAGGGCAAAAAAACCTCACTGAGGTTCTGTTGGTATTTTCTAGAGTCCTTCTTTTCCAAGCTGCCAAAGACACATACAAAGACCTGAAACTCCTCAGTCCTCCAAGCTCCCACATTGCTTAGTGAAAAATAAGAGATTATTGGCAAGAGATCTGATAACCTGGATAAAGTAGACTGTGTATATGCCTGATTAAACTGGTAAATCTTAATGACGTTAAGTCTTTTATTGTAATAATACTCCCTATGTACACCCTAACTCCAAAAAACTCAAGCAGGAGAAGAGAGAAACTACACATTCGCTCTTAAAAATTACAAACTTACTATAATTCTTTCTATCAGACCATAACGATAGTAATAGATGACGCTTTGGCTATTAAAGAGAAAGCTATTTTTACAAATAAATAGCATTTTTGTGCTGATATCAGGTTGTATGAATAACAATTCCCAGACAACCAGAAAGCCACCAAGCGTGCGCAAAAGAAAATACTGTAGAAGATTAAGGGCTTAAAGTATTAAAAGAGACTTATGCCGATACTAAAAAAAATTGGCTGCAGATCTTTGGCATATGAATAAAAGTACATTGTGTATTATACACATGCAGAGCTTATAAAATTAAAATACTACTTTGAGGATAATTTTTACTAGGCAGTGCACTCAGGAGTTACATAAAGGTTGTGTAACATGGTATTGCAACTGCTGCAGTTAAGTCCAGGGCAGCTTCTTCTACATCCTCTTTATCAATATTTATTTTACAAACTTCCAGTGCTGTAAGCTCCTTTTTATTTCTAGAATCTTCAGGAAAGACTGATCACAGCAAGTATATAAACGTGGTCAAAATTTTCATCATCTCAGTGAATTTCAGAGGTTCCCCTCAAGAGCAAAAATGCACGTGGCAAGATGTGTTTAAATTAAGGCTTTATTTCCACGGTATACTTGGAGAGTTGTTAAATAAAATCTTTAGTCATGCTAAGACTCATAAGTAGCCTTATTAAAGTAGCTTTAACAAAGTAGAAATTCACTACTTTCTATTACATGGATGTAAAGTTTCTTTTTAATTAGTAACTGTAGGGAACTCTAAAGATTAATCACAAGTTAAAAAGTGGACATGGAGATCTAGACAAAAAGCAGTAAAATTATGCTTAATAATTATAAGCTTCAGAGCCATTTGCAATTAGAAGATGATCCTTTTGGATCATAGTGCTGAAACCATAAGACATGATCCTCTGCTCCACTTGCAGTAGTTTTCACAGTTGCTATTCCTGTCCAAAGACATACGGAGAACAGGGATGGAGAGTACCTTTACTAGCAACCAACTAAACTTGCCATCCAGCTACCTTCCTTACTCCACTCCCTAAGAACTTTCTGAAAAATTACTTCCTTTCTAACACTTTGTATTGCACCTGAAGTTAATAAGATGGTCAAGTTACCCACTACAATGTTACAAAAACAAGCCTAAGAAACATAAAAGTTAGCAATAAAACCCCTATCTCCAAACTCTTAAAATGCTTAAGATACCTTTTAGTTGCTGAGACATCAAATGATACAACAGAAAGACTATAGCTTCAATGTATTTTTTGTGAAAGAAGAAAATCATTTGGATTAAGTTCTGCATTTAGTACAGCCTACACTATTTTAAAGAAATCCTTTCAGAGAACATAATTAAAAAAAAAAAGAAAAAAAAAAAAAAAAGAGAAAGAAACCAAACTGTAGAGTTTACCTGAACAGTTTATTTGAACTACAAATAGAAGTGGTTTGCAATTGTAAAAACTTACAATCACCTTGTCTAGGACATGAATTGTGGGGCTGTGTTTTATATCTAGAGGAATTATTACACAGAAAGGATAAAATTTTGATCTTCAGAAACCTTGGTGTATTACCTGCTTTGTGTGGGCTCAAATATGAAGAACAAAAATGAAATTAAAATCAGTTTTCCTTGTTATGATAGCAAATGAATAAAGAATTAAGTATTCAACACTGTTCAAGACCCAGAGATCTGTTATTAGATTCCTATCATGTCATTTTATATGGTTTACATAGGATCGTAGAATAGTTCGGGATGGAAGGGATCTTTAAAGGTCATCTATACAGGCCCCCGCAGTATTGTAAATTAGTGTAAAAAAGAGGAAAAATGAAAAGTGTTCTGAACAAAACACATAAAAGTACTGTACAATGTCAGAGCTGGTAGGTTTAAGTAACTTTATACCCAGGCACTTAAGAGCATCTTGGTCTCAGGGGCTGAGTATACAAGCATCAGTTACTTCAGTGTTTGCAAGTGAAACTCACTATGCCTGCAGTGCTTACACCCTGCAACAGTATTAACATGAAGAGCCAGTCAGCCAAAACAACTCCACATAGTAGGGACAAAAAATAGCTTGCAATGCAGCATTGTGCACACCCTCCTGATAGAACTTTGTGCACTTTACTGGCAACATCCACTAACACTAGCTGAACCCAAACAAGTGAGAAAGTCCCATTCTTGAACAGTTATTTCTAAAGCTTGACTGTGAAGGAGTTAAGGGGTTCTGTCTTTGAATGAATCTGTCTGTCACTCAAATATTTAAAGCATCGGCTGCTTGACCATCTAGAAAATTATGTGCATTTTGGAAAACTGCATCTAATTTAGAGCTTTCAGCCTTACTCTTCAAATAGACTACAAAAAGCTGCTGCTGAGAATAAACTGTAAGCACAAAACTCAGATGATATGAGTTTGCTCCTAAATGCATCATTTTTTGTACCACCTTAAACTTACCAAGGGGATGATGAATCAACTGAATAATTCCCACAGGAAAAGTCCACAGAGCACTTCAATCTAGTACTAGTATTAACGACACGCAGAAGTGTGCTTCCATACACAGATCGGTAAACTGGTGACACAGTAATCCTCACAGCAATAACCTTGTTGTAATGAGACTGTTGTCAAACTAAAAATGGCTTAAATTGTTAAGATATCTTATTATGAATCCACATAAGATCAAAATTAAATCAAGTTAAATAGAAAATATTTTGATGTGTATAAATCAAGAGTAATTATTGGCAAAGTGTCTGTAAAAAATAGCCTGTCAGAAAATTAATCAAAAATAATCAGTAACACAATGCCCTATGCTATGCTCTCTCATTGTTTTCAAATAAAACATAACCAGCATAACTCACAAGTAGGAAGATATTATCTGTTTCAGGCCCAACAACTCACCAAGACCAGAAATTTTTGATGATTATTTGTGTATCAAGAATAGTAAGCAAAATTCTGTAATAGGACTACTAACAAAAATTCTTGTTTTCCTAAAGCTGTCTCAGCTACATATACAAATATGGACATTTCTTTCCATAGCAATATTTGGCAATGTATTTTATATATGTGGGGGGAAATAATTTATTTTAATATGAAAAAAACATAAAACTGGTTTTCATTTAAATTCTATAATTGATAGTTTAGATAGGGTTTCTCATGCATTACAGGAAAGTTTGTTCTAATTTTGCACATTTCATAGGATCCTGCCTGCTTAAGTTATTTGTTGAATGGAATGCTCCAGAAGTGCTTATTGCTTTATCTCCATCATGTCACTCATTTTTTTCTTGGCAAGAACTTTTATATTGGAATTTTCCTATGGAATCTGACTGGAATACGATATAATCTATATTACAATTTATTAAAAAAAGTATCAAAAGGTTCGATTTACGTAGGAAATCTCTCTAATCATAGGAAAAATACAGAGATATAACAAAGGGCCTCTTCAGTTTGTCAGTCTTCTGTTTCTAAATGGATGACTAAAGTATGCTTCCGAGCTGGAGTTTATTTCAGCTACCATGTCCAGGAAAAAGTTAAGAGATTCCTATACCAGAAAAAAACCCTCTATGATCATCAAAGCAAATTCCTTTAACAATATGAGACAAGGAATTTTAGTTAATAGTTTCTGTTTCTAATAGTATAATTTGAGTTGTAGGTATGATGATTCAAATGAATCTCCAAGTATACCACAGGATTATGTTTTTACTGTGAAAATATATGTTTAGCTATCTGAGTTGCCTGTAGGGTTAACAGACTATTTTCAAAGTACACTGAAAAGAATGTAAAATATGTGTGCAATATATATTATTTTATATATATATTGTTTTATTTGTTATATATATTATATTTATATAATATGAATAAAAATATATTTATATTATGATATATAAAAATATTGTCTTTTTTATATATGCGTAATATATATTATATATGTGTGTAATATATTCCATTCATTTTACTAGGTAATTTCCTGGATAACATGTGGGGTGTAATATTATTTCAGATTCTGTGTGTTCAACCTGGAATTTAAAAAAACAAACAAACTGAAAACAAATTCAAAACCCAGACAAACACCAAGCCTCCCTCCCCCCAAGAAATGCATCTGATTTTAGGTGGAGATCAAATGCCTGCCTCTTGAAAGTCTAAACACTGAATTCAGATACGAAAATTTGACATATCCACTTATTGCAGGCCAGTTTTGAAGGGTCACTAAGAGAGGCCAAATACTGCTCAAAAGCATGAAATCAGCCTTAAACACTGCAGAAATTATCTCTGCAATAGGAAACATATACTATGTTGAAATACTGACTTAGAATACAACAGAAGCATTTTTATTGATTTCACTATGTACTTGTTCAGTTCTGTGAGGTGCAAATATTCTCCAGCTATTGCTTCCTGACTCAGAAAAAGGGATACTCTAGACAAGAACAGTGATATAAACATGACTG